ACCTCATTTTCCTATATTATGCTCATATTGGTCTAACTCATTGGTTATAACATATATTTCTCACTTCCAAACAAAATCCGCCTACAGTCACATTGTTAAGTTGGAAAAAAATATATTAACATTTCAGAATGAGTTAGAAAGTGAAAAGTAGAAAGTTCCTTTGTTTTAAACATGACACAGAAAATAAAGTAATCAACCAGACCAAAGATCAAATGACCAGTCACCTAGATTGGGCACTCTAACTCATAAGAATTGATTCCAAACAACCACCACATAAATGAAGATTGTCAAGTTCACAAAAATTCAGCATAATGGCATTTGGGGATAAAAGCAGCAGGTGAAAAGTTAAAAATGTTTTCTATATGCAAAACTCAAGTGCTCAACCTGACTCCTCCATCAGTTGTCAGGTCCCTTATACTGGCATCCTGTATCCTATCAGAGATCAGTGGCTGTATGAGCAACAAATATCCATTAGCCAATCAGTTTACTGTGAATGTTGGAGATGATGATGGATGGTGCCTCAGCCAACTAAAGTCCTTTGACTACAGTTATAAACCCTACTTATAGTGGATTTAGAGATTGCAGCTTACGATATAGAGGTGAAAATCAATGTAGACTAATACTTATCAAATGTTGGGGTTTTCTCCATTGTAACTTATTCTCACATTTATTCTTTCTCTTCCACGAATTCTTGGCATCAAGTTAACCTGCTTCTTTGCTTTAGAAATCCGTGACTGTTTCAATCTTTGAGATAGTCATACAAGTATCAAAAACAAGGTTAGCTAACAAGCTGATGAAAAATAACTTTTGCCTATGACAAGATGCAAGATCTATTAATCTAGAAGACTTGTTTAAGTCACAGAAGGGAAAGGTGAAGAGATGAATAACAGGTCAAAATGAGGAATCTTGAATTGCAAGTCATTATTGCGGTGGGCATTCGTTTCATAAGTAAGGTTATCTGCTATAGCATTAGAAATAACTGGATGGAAATATGAACTATGACGATTGAGAGTCTATTACAAGTGATGAATCATCTATTTTTGGGGCTGCTATATAAAATATGGATAATGAGAGGTATTCCTATCCATGATTCATGATAAATTTAAAAAAAAGAAGAACAAAACGTAGGCAACCCATATTTTATAGGTGTGAATCTTTTTTTGTCAAAGTTCGGTCTATTCAAAGACACATTCTACACCATAGAGTCATTTGGTAACAAGAGTTGGAAAACTTCCCAACACCTGTTAACTCCTGCTAAATGCTCAAAAATGGGTTAAAAGAGTTAGTTGGTAATGGTTGTTGGGGGGGTTCAAGTGTGAGTCTTGGCATTATCTTGGAAATATTTGCAAAGAGCCCATTGTTTTTTCAAGGAGATAGTGATGTAGTAACAATTGCTCATAAACAAGAGCAACAACAAAGCCTTTATCCCAAATTTATGGTTTCAGCTATATGAATCCTATTCCTCCATTCAGTTTTGTTAAGGTCAATTCCTTCTTCAAGTTAACTATTATCATATACTTCTTAACCACTTCTAACAAATTTCTTTTAGGCATACCCTCTAATTTTCCGTACCCCATTAACTATAACCTTATAACTTCAACTAACTAGTGCATTTAGTGGACTTTGTTCTAGTATGACCAAATCATCGCAGTTAATTCCCTCTCATTTTATCCTTAATAGGAACAACCTATAACTTTCTATGAATGCACTCGTTACTTATCCTATCCCTTAATGCACATCCACAAGATTATCGTGACATTTCATTTTGCTACTCATTTCCTGAACATGTTGTTTTTTGCTCAGTTAATTGCCCTATATTACGACCTGTAAAGCATCGTCCATCTTATAGCAGTCCTATAGAATTTTTCCTTCAATTCCGCGGGTATTCTACTAGACTATTACACAAATCCCAGCTCATCTATAGCTATTTTTGTTGCAGCGGAGGGGCTTCACAGACACAGAAGATATTTATACAAGAGTGGACAAAGAGAACAGCACACAAGGATTTAAAGTGGGTCGGTTAGTATGACCTACGTCCACGGACGAGAACAACAGAGAACTTCACTAATCACAAAAGAGAAGATTACAAAAGAGGAGATCACTCTCTATCTAGAGACTCACACAAAGAAAGGGGCTCTTTCTATATCACTCTCTTCTCTATTTTCTCTCTACTCAACTGAGTTCTGATGATTCTAAACACTCAAATCACACCCCCAATATATAGCTTACAAATATTAATAAAATAATATACAAGGGTTGTTGGAATAGTAGAATTAGGCAAAAATTAGGTTCTCTTTTGAAAATCTTCAAAAGCACGTTTTTAACAAATCTCCACATTGCCTTTGAAAATGAAGATCTTCTCTTCACTCTTATTGTCTCGTCAGAAGTCCCTTACAGGCTTAATCTCCACTTTGTCGAACTCCAAGCAATTCGAGGCAATGCTCGAACTTACGCGAAGGTACGGGCTTTGTCATCATATCTGTTGCATTATCTGCAGTACCAATCTTCTCAATCTTGATGACTTTAATTTCTCTGATAAAATAATACCTAACATCTATATGTTTGGTTCTTTCATGATACATCTGATGCTTCGTCAAATGTATAGCATTCTGACTGTCACAAAATACCGTAGTAACACCTTGATGTAAGCCGAGATCTTCAACCAAACCTCTTAACCAAATAGCTTCTTTCACTGCTTCTGTCACTGTCATATACTTTGCATCTGTGATAGACAAAACAACTGTAGATTGTAGAGTCGCCTTCCAACTAATGGCACTACCTGAAAGAGTGAATATATAACCTGTCAGGGATCGTCTCTTATCCAAATCACCCGCATAATCTGAATCAGAATAGCCAAGTATTCTGAAATCTAAGTATGTGTTCCTGCCAAAATTCAAACTAATATTAGCAGATCCTCTCAAATATTTAAGTATCCATTTCACAGTCTGCCAATGGACATTTTCAGGCTTATCCATGTACCGACTCACAACACTGATTGTATGTAAAATATCTAGATGGGTGCAGACTATCGCATACATAATGCTTCCGACTGTACTCGCATAAGGAATACAAGATATGTATTGCTCCTCCTCAGTCTGAGGTGACAAATCTGTTGAAAGACGAAAATGAGCAGCAAGCGGTGTCTTTACAGGCTTGGCATCAAGCATGCCAAATCTCTCCAACACCTTCTTGATGTATTTCTCCTGAGATAGGAATAAACTTCCTTCTTGTTTGTTTCTGTGGATCTCCATCCCCAAAATCCTCTTTGCTACTCGTAAGTCTTTCATCTCAAACTCATGTTTGAGTTGTGATTTCAACTCGTTAATTTTTAACATATCTTTAGCTGCAATCAACATGTCATCAACATACAAAAACTAATACACAAAAGAACCATCATTGAGCTTTTTATGATAAACACAACTATCATATTTACTCCTAGAGTAACTATGCTCAAACATGAAAGTATCAAATCTCAAATATCACTGCCTCGAAGACTGTTTCAACCCATAAAGAGATTTCTTCAACCTACACACATGGTCTTCTTTACCTTCGACAATGAACCCTTCTGACTGATGTATAAAGATCTGCTCCTCAAGCTCGCCATGTAGAAAAGCTGTCTTCACATCAAGTTGCTCAAGCTCCAAATTAAAATGAGCAATCATGGCAAGCAACACGCGGATTGAGATGTATTTTACAACTGGAGAGAATACTTTATTGAAGTCCACACCTTCGATCTGACTGTAGCCTTTAGTTACCAAGCGTGCCTTGTACCTTATAAAATCATATCCAGAGATCCTTCTTTCTTCTTGAAGACCCATTTACAGCCAATGATCTTCTGTCCCCTTGGTGGCTTCACTAGCTCCCATGTCTGATTCTTGTGAAGAAACTTCATCTCTTCAGTCATCGTAACAGTTCAATTTGCAGTCTCATTGCCACTAATAGCCTACTTATAGGTAGAAGGCTCTAGAACCTCAATCGATTCTGCTATACTCAAAGCATAAGTAAGCATGTCAGCATAACATTGAGGAGGTCGCATCTGTCTTTTTGTTCTCCCGATGGTAATATTATACTGTTGCTCTTACGGTGTATCAGCATCTAAAATTGAACCTTCCGCAGTATCAACTGGTTCAACATGAGCGCCCACAAACACTTTCTTTGAAGCTGAGCTCTCTAGCTCCACCTGCTTGCTAGACTCTTTTTTAGTACTTGTAATGTCAATAACAAAATCATTTCTCAGGTGAAGCATAGATTTCTCATCAAAAGTGGCATCCCTACTAATAATAAACTTGGGTGATTTAGGATTAGAACATCACAATCTATATCCCTTCATCCCAGTAGCATATCCTAGAGAAACAGTTTCAGTTTGTGGAGAGTAAAAATAAGGACTCTCCTAGTACAACAAGGACTGTTCAAGGTCTTGTCCGGAAAGGATAAGTTACCGGAATCTATGCCCGATGGTGAGAAAGAAGAGCTGGAGATAAAGGCGCATAGTGTCATACAGCTCTATTTGACCGATGAGGTCCTGCAGGAGGTTACAAATGAAGATACCGTCGTCGGCAAGGAAGGTATGCGAATTAAAGACCACTTAGATGAACTTAACACTATTCTTATGGATTTAAAGAATATTAATGTTAAAATCGACGAAGAAGATCAAGCCCTGATCTTGTTATGTTCATTACCTCCTTCCTATGAAAATTTTGTCAATAGCATGTTATACGATAGAGATACACTTTCTTTTGAAGGATGTCAAATCAGCCTTACATTCAAAAGAGTTAAGATAGAAAGTGTCTGTCGTAGGAGGAGAGGATCAAGCTGAAGGCTTGTTCGCTCGTGATCGTCCTGAAAAGGGTGTTGGTGGTAGAGACAAATCTAGAAACATGTCTAGATCAAAGTCCAGGCCAAGGAAAAATATTGAATTTTATTACTGTCACAAATATGGACATATAAAACCTAATTGTTCAGCGTTTAAAACAAAGGATAATTCACAATCAAAGTCTGGGGATGTAAAACCTTCAGTTGCCACTGTAACTGAAGAGTCTTCTAGTTCACATGAAGTTCTTTCAGTTAGTGTTAATACTCATTCACAAGAAGAGTGGGTTCTTAATTCGGGTTGTTCCTATCATATGTGTCCGCATAGGAATTGGTTTGTCACATATCAGTCTATCAATAGTAGGAATATCTTGTTGAGAAATAACATGCATTGCAAGACTGTTGGTATAAGATCAATTAAGATTAGAACTCATTATGGTATTATTAGAACATTGAGCAATGTCTGTCATATTCTAGAGTTAAAAAAGAACCACATTTCTTTAGGCACCATTGACTCAAATGGTTTTAAATTTTCAGCTGAAGATGGAGTTTTGAGAGTAAGCAAAGGCTCTCTTGTTGTGATGAAAGAAAAGAAGGTAAATACTCTCTATATCCTTAAAGGTAGTACAATGACTGGTGCTGCAACAGTGTCATCCTCAGAGGATTCAGATTCTGACACTACACGTTTGTGACATGCGGTTAGGGCATATGAGTGAGAGAGGACTGGATGTATTGAGCAAACAATGTCTGCTTTATGGTCAGAAAATTAGTAAGCTAGACTTTTGTGAGCATTGTGTTTTCAGCAAACACCATAGAGTATCCTCTAGTACCGGTGTCCATAGAACTAAGGGTACCTTAGATTATATTCATTCAGATATTTGGGATCCCTCTCAGGTTCTATCGAAAGGTGAAGCTCGTTTTCTGCTAACATTGATTGATGATTATTTCAAAAAAGTTTGGGTGTATCCTTTGAAGCATAAGAGTGATGCGTTTGCAACCTTCAAGCAATTGAAGGTTATGATTGAGAAGCAAACAGGAAAGAAAGTGAAGCGCCTCAGAACAGATAATAGGATGGAGTTTTGATCCACAGAGTTTGACCAGTTATGCAAGAATGAAGGTATTGTGCATCATCGTACAGTTCGGCTGATTTGTTAAAAATGTGCCTTTGAAGATTTTCAAAAAAGAACCTAACTTTTACCTAATTCCACTATTCCAACAACTCTTGTATATTATTTTATTAATATTTGTAAGCTATATATAGGAAGTGTGGTTTGAGGGTTTAGAATCATCAGAACTCAATTGAGTAGAGAGAAAATAGAGAGAAGAGAGTGAGATAGAAAGAGTTCATTTCTTTGTGTGAGTCTCTAGATAGAGAGTGATCTCCTCTGTTGTAATCTTCTCTTTTGTGATTAGTGAAGTTCTCTGTTGTTCTCGTCCGTGAACGTAGGCCAAACCACGTTAAATCCTTATGTGATGTTCTTTTTGTTCACTCTTGTACAGACATCTTTTGTGTCTGTGAAGCCCCTCCGCTACAACAATTTTCTCTCTACTTATCATTAATTAAAGCAGCTTAAGAATTTGCTTATGAGCATACTACTTATATCCTCTTTTTTGCTCTCCAAACCCCTTTTTAAGCTGTCATTTCCTAATTCCCAAAATTCTGTTCCGTAAAGTATAATTAGCGTAGTCTTTGATATAGCCGCCTTATGAAATTTCCCTTTAACTTGCAAATTTTAGAAAGAGAATTTCTAATGTTTTTTTTTTTCATCTATTTGTTTGCTATTTTTTACGCAAGTATTTGCATTCTAGGGCTTCTATCTCTTTAGGGTCTGAATCGGTTACCCTTCTTAACCAAGGCCGGTGATCATCAAATGACAGATTTACCCATGAAGTCCTGGGCAAAGGGTTCACACAGGGGAAGAGGGTAAAAGTGTAATACTGGAAAGAGGGAAAACCAACAGCGGTGTTTACCTTGGTGAAGAGGTGGGCTCTGTGGTCGGAGGAGGAGAGGAGCTTAAACTCCATAGGCGGTGACCTGAACCCGGAGCAGTACGACGGGAGCACTACCAGTCCATCGGCCGTCACCCCCCAAATCCCCATCCTTTTTATTACAAAACAAAACAAAAATACCTCCTTTAATAAAAAAAAATTGGCCCAGAACAAAAAAAAAATTTTTTTTTTTTTTTGACAAAGTCCCCAGAAACTTTTTGAGACGATATTTTTTGGAGCTGGGTGTGCCGAGAGATTTGAGGATGAGTACGGAGCAGAAGTCAGCGGCAAGTGGCGGTCTGTCATATATTGATATAAATTTATTTTACGAACAATCCAACAACAATTGCTGCTGTAGCATGGTGGTTATTACGTTAGCCTTACAACCTGATGAAGGGTACTAGATCGATCCCGGGGAGCAACAAACCTAGATTTTGGGTAGATTTTCGTTTTTTAAAGCTTATTAGTTATTTTGGCTGTTAATGGTTTTTTATATTTTTGATAAACATACTATAAAAATTGTTTAAGTATAATAGTACTTTGCTAAGTCAAAGCTAGTTTTTTTAAGTAAGCTTATAAGGTAGTTTTTCTAAAGTTGTGCCATATTAGCTTTTTAAAATGGGACTTATAAGCTAATTGGATAACATTGTGTTTTTCTTATTGTGTTTTTATACAAAAAAACACCATGGTGTTGTGTTTTTTCCTTAATATGTTTTCAAAACACTATGTTAAGTATTTTTAATCAACACTAGTTTCAACCATTATAACATTAGTGTTAAATAAATTATTAATATATTATATATTAATTATAATAAAATATATTGTAAATAAAATGCTATAATATTTAGTTTACATTATTATAGTATTATAAGTATTAAATGTAATGTAATATAATATTGTATAATGTATTATAATATTATATTATACTTTAATAAGTTATATTATATTATAATTATTATTATATTATAATTATTATGTATTATTTTCAAATAATTATATATTTAATTATATTGGTATATCAATTTGTTATTGTTGTATATTATATTAATATGTTTATAATAATGTTATTTTCTTATTAATATAATATTATACTATTATTAATATAATGTGCTATACCAGCTTTTTAAAATGGGACTTATAAGCTAAGGCTTCCTTTGGATAACATTGTGTTTTTCTTGTTGTGTTTTTATACAAAAAACATCATGGTGTTGTGTTTTTCCTTAATATGTTTTCAAAACACTATGTTAAGTATTTTAGGTCAACACTAGTTTGAGCCATTATAACATTAGTATTAAATAAATTATTAATATATTATATATTAATTATAATAAAAAATATTGTAAATAAAATGCTATAATATTTAGTTTACATTATTATAGTATTATAAGTATTAAATGTAATGTAATATAATATTGTATAATGTATTGTAATATTATATTGTACTTTAATAAGTTATATTATATTATAATTATTATTATATTATAATTATTATGTATTATTTTCAAATAATTATATATTTAATTATATTGGTATATCAATTTGTTATTGTTGTATATTATATTAATATGTTTATAATAATGTTATTTTATTATTAATATAAACACTAGTTTGAGCCATTATAACATTAGTATTAAATAAATTATTAATATATTATATATTAATTATAATAAAATATATTATAAATAAAATATTATAATATTTAGTTTAGATTATTATAGCATTATAAGTATTAAATGTAATGCAATATAATATAGTATAATGTATTATAATATTATATTATACTTTAATGAGTTATATTATATTATAATTATTACATATTATTTTCAAATAATTATATATTTAATTATTAATATTATTTTAACTATTATTAAGCAACAGATGCAATGATTAATACTATTATTCATTTAATATAATATTATTAATAATTTATTATTATGTTATATACTAGTATGTTATTAATAAATAATATATTATAAATATTTTAATATTATATAATATAATATAGTTTTAATATGTTAGAGTTTATTAATAGTACTTTAATAATATATAGTATTTATGATATAAATAAATATTATTATATTATGAATATATTATTTTTTACATTACCATTTGTTAGCAATAAATAATTATTATTATTAAAATTATTTTACTTTATAATAAATTATATTATTATTACATAATATATTATATTTTATATATTACATTACCTATACAATATGTTCTTAAAATATTATTATTATATTGTTAATGTTACTATTAAATATGTTACTATTATATAATATTTTATAATTATTAATGTATTATAATTTATTTATTAAAAAGTTAATAACCATTATAGTGATTATACTATTGTATAATACATTATTTATATAATTATTATATTATTATTTATTATCAATAACTTTTTTATTATTAGATTATTTTATATTTTTTTATTATTTATTATTATATAATAACATTAAACACCTAAAATGTGTTTTGAAATAAGTGTTTTGTTTTTGGTTCGGGGATGATTTAGCTCAAAAAACACCATGGTTTCCAAACGCATAGTATTTTATTTTTGACAAAAACACCATGGAAACAAGTAAAACACCATTGTATTCAAACGGAGCCAACTTATTTGATACTTTTATCGAATATGTAGATAATAAAAAGCTAGCTTAAAAGCTAGTTTCACCAAAAACGAAAACTCCGCAAGGGGCTGTTTGTTTGCATAAGGGGAAGGGGAAAGTCTGTTCAAAATTTGTGCATCCTTTCTTGCAAAAACGTCTCTTTTAGAGGCGTTTTTATAAGAAAATCTGTCAAAACTAACACTTTTGACGGGTTTTTAACCCATTTCTCCATCTAAAAAAGGCAACCAAACGCGCCCCAAATACCCTCTTGGTCATGCCTTTGATGTATTCATGAGTGTTTTCATCAAAAGTTGATCTCGTTGTGGAATTCATTATATCTTCGATCGATTACAATAAATTCAAAAGAGATAGTCTTTTTATAAGACTTCTTTTACACAACAAAAGGAAAATTATAACTTTTTAGAAACAAACGCAGATGTTAGTGGGTCTCCTTTCAGTTTGTAACCATCTCCCCACGTTTATGGTTGATCTCAAGTAGTTATGAAGCCAAAAAACCGTCAAAAAACGTGTTGTAACCAACTCTATGGCCGAGACAGTGAAGTCTGTCTCGCACTTCCGAGACAGTTTGTACTATCTCGGGTATTTTGGCTCTAACTCCCTCGTATGATATCGGAATGAGATGATCCAAGATGCGTTGGAAACCTGACGAAGAGATATACAACTTTTGTCTTTTGACCTTCTTCATATTTGGTGTGAGACAGTCATGACTGTCTCGCATCCCGAGACAGTGAAGTCTGTCTCGCACTTCCGAGACAGTTTGTATTGTCTCGGGTATTTTAGTTCTAACTCCCTCGTACTATCTCGGAATGAGATGATCCAAGATGCGTTGTAAAGATGACGAAGATATCAACAACTTTTATCTTTTGACATTCTTCAGATTTGGTGCGAGACAGTCATGACTGTCTCGTATTCCGAGACAGTGAAGACTGTCTCGCACTTCCGAGACAGTTTGTGTTGTCTCGGGTATTTTGGCTCTAACTCCCTCGTCCGATCTCGGAATGAGATGATCTAAGATGCGTTGGAAAGATGATGAAGAGATCTACGACTTTCTATAGGCAAAATACTCATAGAGTAGATGAGACACACATGGTACTTCACCCTTTTGTGGATAAAGCACAACTCCTGGTTGAGTTGTTCCTTTATCGTTTAGCATGTTTCACAGACTCGTACACTTCGCCGACTTATTTCGTGTGCTTTTTAGCTTCTCTACAATATCAGATGATCTTCTTTGACTCAGATAATCCTCCTTGACTCGGATAGTAACATTTATCGTCTTTTTTTTTATCTCGAGCTATATGCGAGAACCTATAGGCAATTTTTTATGCCTACAATGAGGGATGGATCTACACCAAACATTGTCCAGTAAATACGAATCTAAACTTAAAAATCGATTATATTCTTGCTTTACATTTTTAAACGTAGTGAGTCGCAGCCCAATGGGCCATAAACTTGGACATGATACAGAAAGCTATGAATTTAAACTTAAATTCATTTCTTTGATATAATCATACGGTCTGGACCTACACCAAACATTCTCCGGTAAAACATGAGTATTAATCCTAAAAATCGTAGGGGTAGTCACCTAGAACTTAAAATTGAAACCGAGATAATATATGGGATAAATTTTTAAGGTGTTAGTCACATAGAACTAAAACTTGAATAAAATTTTACAGTGTTAGTCAAGTAGAACTCTAACAAAACTAGAATTGGGATAATGGTACAAAATTATCCATTTTTTTATACAAAAATAAAAGTTCTAGTCTCTCATATTATTCTAAGTTTTAGCTTGGAACTAGGTGGTAAAAAACTAGAACTCATATTTATTTTGATATTTTTTATTTTTTCTAAATTTCTTTTTTTTCTTTACCTCTTTCTTATTATGGTTATTATCATCATTAGACCATCATTATAATAATAATTGTTAATATCTTATAGTCTAATCAAAAGTTATTTAATAGTAAAGAACATTCTTATAAGCAATTATTAATCAATAATAGTAAGTTTAAAATACATAAATAGTATTTATATCTTCAAAATGCAATAAAAATATATTTCATGATTATAAATATTTATCACACGTTATTTTATCAAAATATCCTGCTTCACAAAATTGTTTCTATTTATCTCACTAAAATATTCGCTAGGTTATTCCACTTTAACAATTATCTCATTTTGTATGAAAATGTCCCAATTGACTAACACCCCTAAGAGTAAATTACATATATAAAATCCTCCTAATAGTGTGCAAGAATGAGTTCTAATCTTAAAAATCGTAAAGGGGAGTGATTGGTTGAGGATTCTTTTAATGAGACTAAGACATTTTCTAGGATTTAACTTTAAGGTGTTGCTAGTTTATGACTAGAATTTGGATTTTAACTATAAAGTGTTATTGATTTAGGATTAGGGATTTGAATTTAACTTCATAGTGTTAGTGATTATTTAGTATTATGATTAGGACTATGATTCCAAAATCTAAATCTCAATTCTACTCTATACATTTTAGTGAGAAATTAAAAAAAAAGGTGGAAGTTAAAATTAGTGGATTTGTGATCTCTATAGAGATGATTAATATGTGAGC